TTTGCATAATTTAATGGTAAAAACTTTGCTCAAAATCCTATTGTACACAATCAGATACACCTGATAACAGGGGGCAGAAGACCACACAAAAAATAATCTTGACTTATCGCATAGTAATAAATGATTAATATTGTAAAAGTATTTCTGTTTTTTCCTTTTACATATTTTGTTAAAAAGCCAAATAAGGAATTCAAACCAGAAAAAGTCATTTTCTGTTTCGTTCAATTCTTGGATCAGGCTTTAAAGGGTTAACGGAGCAGAACGGTGCAGAGTTCCCGCGATCGGCCATTATTGTGCAGCTACTGTTAGATTTGTTAGATTTGGTTCTTTAGCTGGAAACCTGAGAATAAACCAGAAGATCAAGAGTACAAATGTGACATTTATTGGTCACAAGCAAAGTAAATCAGCTTGGCTATAACAGACAAAAGTTCCCGGAGGATCTCAGTTAGCAAAGAGCCTCGATTTCCGGGTGTGATGGACAGTTTTCCTCTGGGCCTCCAACAGGAGGACGAGTGTTATTGGCCAGTTAGCTCTGACAGGAACAGGCCAGGTCCTAATTCATGCAGGTTTCAGTGGAATGTGATAAGAAAGTGTGGATGTTGACCTTAAAGACGAGTATCTACTGTAACAGAGAGAGGAGGAGGAGCCACAGAGTTTAACCCAAAAGTATAATTCTAAAGGGAATAATATCAATCTAAAAGGAATAAGGCAATCAGTCATTTACATGGATTAAGTTGTAGCATGCTATGCTAGAGTAAGTAATTATAGCCCAATGCTAACACTACAGAGCGGTTTCGGCTCGTCGTAAAAGAGCCGCGGACGAGTTCAGTTTAGGACGCTAAAGGCTTTTTTTCAAACTGGTCGTTTAACAGTGAGTTCAAATGCGTTTTATCGGCCTGTCGCATCTGTTCCAGGAAGCCGCTGCTCTTCCTTCTTCCTCCATTTCTGTGCTTCTCTCGCCTTTCGCTGCAAATATAATAACACATCAGATCAGACCAGGAACAAAGAGAAGACTTGTGATAGGAAGAAAAAACATTTTAGAAAAATCCTCCACCCACTGTGTTAGAATTGGGCTATAATCACTCAACTCAGCATTTATTCATTCTATTTATTTATTTGAATAGGGACAAAGCACATTAATGCACATCAGTATAAAAACAAATGTAAATATGCCGGATTATAGCTACAAAGCTAGTTTTCATCCGTAGTCCCTAGGCAGGCAAATGCATAAGAAAAAAAATATATATACATACAATATGAGCATCACAAGGAAATGTTAAGAGTTT